GCCAAGAAAGGAAGAGCTGCTGTAGAAGATTTTATTGATGAACTTTGTTCAATTGCAACTGATGAAGCTAAAGATGTATGTGATGATTGGAATGCATATGGAATGGATAAAATTGTTGATGCTATTATGGCACATGAATTATCAGACTCTGTTTGTGCAAAATGTGGATCTTGTTAAAAGAGGGGGGGAGATATTTAATACAATTTTTAATTATTAAATTTTAAAAGTAAAATTAAATTTTCTCTAAAGAAATAAGTAATAAAGAAATAGTGTTTTTGTTAAAGAAATAATAAAGTAAATAGAAAACAAATTGTTTAATTTCATTAAATTTAATTTGTTAAAAATAAAAAAATAGAAATTCATCTTCATTTTGTTTATTTAATAATTAATTTAATTTGAGTAGTTTAATGAGTGAAGAAAATTTATCACTTAGTGATCTTTTAGAACAAATATTATGTTCTAAAGGATCAGTTAAAGTTATTAGAAAAATGTATGAAACTACACAAAGTGAAGGAACAAGTATTTCATTTATAAGAGATTTACTTTGTTTTTTTGAAGGGAGAAATAAAACATTAATATTTATGAATAGATTATTTGAACAATGGATAAATGGAAATGACAATTTATTATTTGTTATTAGAAAAAATTTTTGGTCATATAATTGTTTTACTGTTTATTTAACTTGTTCCAATTTAGTTGAATATCTTCAAACAATACTCACCCCTTTCTTTGATAGTTTACAAAGAAAAGAAGAAGAACCAATAAAATCTTTATTAATAGAGAGTAAAGAATTAAAACAAAAAGAAATAAATCAATTAAAATTTAAAAATATTGAATCAAATGAAGTAAAAAATTTATTTATTAAACCAGATTTATCACAAATACCTATTTCTCAATTAAATACTTTAATACAATTTATTATTGATAAATTAGAAATGATAATTAATTCATTCATACAATCAGTTGATCGTTTTCCACCTCAAATTGGATTTCTTTTTTATACATTAAGACTTAAAATAATTAATGGATATCCAAGTTCTATGAATTCATTTTTACTTTATCTTATTCAAGAATCAGTAATTACACCATTTTTATCTTCACCATCATTTTTTGGTATGCTTGAACAAGTAACTTCAAAACAATTATTTATTATAAATATTTGTATTTATTTATTAAGAAATATTTCATTAAATACACAAATATCATCAGGTTATTTCTCATTATTTAATGATTTTATTGCTTTTCAACATATTAAAATAACAACTCTTTTTTTAAATGTTATTTGTACAAAATATCAAACTGAATGTCATTATATTATTCCTGAAGAACATTTTCAAAAAGTTTGTTATTCTCTTTCAAAATTATTTATTTCACATGGAAATATATTAGAACAAACATTTATTCAAAAATTACCATCAATTGGATTATCAGAAATATTAAAACGATTAAAAGATTCATGTAAAGCAAGAAAAAAAATATATAAAGATAAGTTTAGACCAATTATTCCAAAAGCACCATTTCAATATTTTGGAAAGAAATATGAAAGTTTAGAAATAATGTATAATAATAAATTTATTGGATTATCTTCAAGAACATTATCAACTAATTTAAAATCAAAAAAAATAAATCATGCAATTAAAATATTAAATCAAAATGAAAATTATATTAATTATATTGATCCTAAAACTGGACTTACTCCTTTAATGGTTGCTTGTAAAAATCCTTCTATTGAATTATTTAAAACATTATTAACTAAATCACCAGATGTATTTATTCGAGATTTTAGAGGATGGAGTGTTGTTCATCATGCAATTTATGAAGATAAAGTAGAATTTCTTTCATTATTAATTAATTATCCATTTTATAATTTATTTGATTGGAATGATGATATGAATACTCCATTACATTATATTGTACAAAAACCTTTAACAAATGAAGTAGAAAAATGTATAATTCAATGTTTAAAGAATGGAGCAAATATTAATTCATTAAATCTTTCAAAAGAAACACCATTATATCGTGCAGTTAAAAAAAATAATATAAATATGGTTAAATATTTATTACCATTAGGAGCAGACCCATTTATAAAATGTGTAACAGGAAGTGTATATGATTTTGTATTAGAAGATCCACCAGAATCAGAATTAAGAAATATAATATTTGATTTTGTAAAAAAAGGAACATTATTTAATAATGAATATATTAAAATTAATAGAGAACAATATCATGTTCATTTTTCAATTCAAGAATATTCAACTATTAATTTTATTATTAATTCTATTCAAGAACAAAATTCATTATTATTTGAAAATTTATTAGATAGAAGTACTTTTGAAAATGATGTTTTAATAACAAATGGAAATACATTATTACATGAAATATCTCGTAATGGTAATTCAGAAATTATGGAAATTTATTGTAGAAAAAAGTTATTATTAAATAATATAACTACTCCAACTCATATTGTTAAATTAAATAATACTGGTGAAACTCCATTAATGGTTGCATTAAAATCAAATAGAGCTGATTGTGCATTAATGTTATTAAGTTTAAATATTGATAATTTATCAGAAACAATTCATCCAGAGACAAGAAGAAATGCATTACATTATCTTAGTATATCAGATATTCCAGTTGAATTAAAAAAAGTATTATTTTTAAGTTTATTTATTAGAATTACAAATATTAATCAACAAGACAAAGATGGAAATACTTGTTTACATTTATTATTAAAGAAAAAAGAAGATGTTTCTTTAACAGAATTACTTCTTAATAATGGTGCTGATATGTTTATTGAAAATAAAAAAAGACAACAATGTATTCATATTTCTATTGAAAATAAAGATGTTATAAATTTTAATTTTTTATTTGAACATGAATATGATTGGTGTGATGATGATTTTGAATTTATTCATACTTTATATTCACAAGATTCTTTATTATTAATTCCACATGTTATAAATTATCTTAATTCTATTACTTCTTCAAGTCCTGTTCATCGTTGGGAGATTGTTTTAAAAATAAAAAGATTATTAGATTCTTCTCATCTTTTTTCTGATTCTATTCTTGTTAGTCCTAGTTCTTATATTCACTCTTTTATTCAATGGCTAGCTATTAAATATGAATCAGAAACACTGAAAAATCAATTAAAAGAATGTTTAATGGATGATGAAAAAGTAGAAGAAAATTTACAAGAAGATCGTATTAGAAATCATATTAATCAAGGATTAGCATTAGGAATTCATGACTGTAAAATACTTAAAATTTCTCTTGAAATGCTTCAAGAAAATCTTTCAAGATGTTTAGAAATTCAAAGTTCTCTTGTTAAAAATGATTTTCGTTATGATAAAACAATTTTAACTAGACTGGTAAAAAAGTTATATTTTGCAACACAACAAGCAAATGCACAATATTATTCTAATTAGAAAATGTAAGTACTATATAATTGGTTATTATAAATAAACAATCTATCTAATTATTTCTTTTGGTTTCAAAAAAAAAAAAAAGTTTTGGAAGGAATTAAAAAAAAAAATAAACAAGAAAAAAAAAAAAAAACTAAAAAATAGTTTAAATAGAAATTCTTAAGTAAAGAAAATGTCTTTTTTATCATTCCTCTTTAAAAAGAAACAAATGAATATTTTAATTTGTGGATTAGATGGTGCTGGAAAAACCGCCCTTGTTCTTAAAATGCAAGGAACTGATCCAAAGTCAATGGAAATTAAACCAACAATTGGATATTTAAATCCTTCTTTTAAATACAAAACATATGAATGGTTATTTTGGGATGTGTCTGGTGCTGCAAAGTTTAGAGGTTTATGGAAATCATATTATCCTAATGTAAAATGTATTGCTTATGTTTTTGATAATACAGATAACGATCGGTTTGATGAAAGTAAAACAGCATTATTAAATATGCTTGCTGATAATGATTTAAAAGGAATGCCTTTTATTATTTATGTAAACAAAATAGATCTTAAACCATATGAACCTTCTTTTGCAGATAAATTAGCTCTTACTGAACTTCAAAAAAGTCGTTGTCAAATATTCCCTTGTTCTGCTTATACAGGGGAAGGATTAATGGATGGATTAGATTGGATGTGCTATACTTTGAAAAAATTAATGAAACATGATAATAACAAAAAATAATTGATTTTTCTTTTTGTTATACATATTAATTTATATTTAAAATTGTTATTAAGTTATTATTTGGTTTTATTTCTAATTTTTTTTTTCTGTTGTTTTGTATCACTTCTTTTTTTTTGTTTTTTAATTTTTCTTTCTAATAAGAAATGTTAGTCAATTATTAAAATATTCGTATTATTATTATTCATCTCTTACACTAGCAATAAAGAATTTTCATTACCGTCAGTTGAAAGTCAACCAAATTTTCAGTTCAAAGCCTAGTTTATGTAAATTAGTGATTTTTAGTGATTTATTAAACTAAAAAAAAATATCAACTATTTGAAAGAGAAAAATAATTCTTTATTTAAAAATATATAAAGGTGATTTAATAATAAACCAAAATGACAATTACATATTTAATAAATAAAAAAACATCATTAAGTTTCAACTTTTTAATGTATTATCAACATTATATTTTTCTTAAGAGAATAACAATATTGTTGAAGATATTTTATATATAGAAGATTATATTTATAAAAAAAAAGAATATAACTTGATAAACCAATAAATATATTATTATATGACTTAATATTTGAAGATAGTTTTAGTTGTTAAAGTGGAATTATTAAAGAAAATTTTATTACAATAATTAATGAAAGTATAGTTGATTTAAATAATTCAATCTAAACTTTTTCATTTATTTTTATTATTGTAGTTATTCAAATTCATTATTATCATAAAATCAATTTGTATTTGCTTTTTTTTATTATCAATTATATAATTGATAATAGTATTTATTGTTTATTTTATCAAAAGGAATAAAATAAATAAAACAATTTGTTAAATATAAACTACTTACAAAAATTCTATCTCTCTAACTAAACTGAGAAATAACAATTTTCTGATTCAGTAGTATTTTCTATAGACGTTGTTTTTGGAAGTGTTTGTTCAATATATTTAGATACTATTTCTTTGGATAATTGAATAACTTCTTTATCTTTTCCAAAAAGTTTAATATTATCATAAAATTTAGACCCTTCTTCTATAATTTCTTTTACTGTCCAATCTTTTTTAAGTTTAATATGTTCTAAAATCCATCTTTCTGGCATAAATTGTTTTTCAGGTTTCTTCTTTACAACTTGATCAAAAACAAATCCAAATTGGTTTTTAAGAATATCTAACATAGAATTATCAATAATAATATTTACTATAATTCTTTTTATTCTTGTTTTTTCATTTAAATTATTTAATAATTTAGATTCTTCAATATCTTTTTCAATACCTTCTCGAGAAAGTAATTCTATATCTTCATATTTAATACTTTCTATTTTTAATTTTTGATTCTTTCCTTCTTTTTTTATTTTTCTTAATGTCAATGTACAACCTAAATAATAAAAAATCATTAACAAAAATCCTTCATTTCCATAGTCATTATGATTAGCTGATTCTCTGTTGTTTCTTTTTCTCATTCTAATTTCATCAATACTTATTACTTTTCTTCTTGGTTTTATTCTCTTAATTTGCTTCTCTTTAGTTTCTTCAATAAATTCTTTAGAATAATCATCAATTAATTCCATTTACTTATATTATTTATTATTTTACAGTTTTTAATTAAATACTACATTCTTTTTTATATATGTCTATTACTTCAAGTCTCTATTGTAGTTTTTTTTTAATATTCAAAACGCAAGTCTTGAAATCAATCATCTGTATTGGTTTAATCCCGAAAAGAAACAAAAAACCATTTCATTTTAATAAAAATAGTTATTTCTTAAATTATTTAATAATTAAAAAAAGAGAAGAACAAGACTAAGGCTCTGTTGTATATTATATTCTTTCAAATAATGCAAAAATAAAAAACAATATTTTAATAAAATTGTTATTTATTAAAATGAAAAACACAAAATTAAAATAACAAAAAAGGGTTTAAAAATACTACAAAAACAGAAAGAGCGAAAAAACAAAATAAAAAAGATAAAAGAGAAAGTTGGCACTTCGTTGTGCCTCGTAAAAGGAAATAAGATGTTTTTTTTTTATAGAATTAACAATGAACTAAGAAAAGAACTAAAGGGTTTATAAAAACAATATGCAAAGACCAGCTACCAAATTTAATAAAGAAAAACTTCTTATTAATAAGGCTAAATTAGATGAAATTCTTAAACAAAGAAATATGGTTATTCAATCATATGAAATTTATGGTGGTATTGCTGGTTTATATGATATGGGACCTCTTGGATGTGCTTTAAAACAAAATATACTTCAATTTTGGAGAAAACATTTTACTACATATGAAAATTTCTTTGAAGTTGAAGGACCAATTTTAACACCAAAATGTGTTTTAGCAGCATCAGGACATACTGCTAAATTCAGTGATTATATGGTTAAAGATTTAAAAAATGGATGTTGCTATAGAGCTGATCATTTACTTAAAACATTCTATGAAAATAAAATGGAAGACCCAGCTACTTCTGCAGAACAAAAAGCTACTTATGATGCTGAAATGAAACTTGTAGATAATTTAACTCCTGAAGAACTTTCTGCTGCTATTCAAAGAAATGGAATTAAAGCACCAGATACAGGTAATGATCTTTCAGAACCATTAGCTTTTAATTTAATGTTTGCAACTGATATTGGACCAGCTGGAGATCTTAAAGCCTTTTTAAGACCAGAAACAGCACAAGGAATATTTACTATGTTTAAAAGAAATCTTGAATTTAATGGAGGAAAAGTACCATTTGGTGTAACTCAAATTGGTAATGTTTTTAGAAATGAAATTGCTCCAAGAAATGGTTTATTACGTGTTCGTGAATTTACACTTGCAGAAATTGAATATTTTGTCTTACCAGATAAAAAGACTCATTCTAATTTCTCTGATGTTGAAAATCTTTCTGTTCAATTATATCCAAGAGAACTTCAACTTGAAGATAAAGAAGCTGAATATATTACTCTTGGTAAAGCTGTTAATGACGGAATTATTAATTCACAATTATTAGCCTATTTTATGGGAAGAACATTTAAATTCTTAATTGAACTTGGAATTCCAGCTGAGCATATTAGATTTAGACAACACTTAAAAACAGAAATGGCACATTATGCTAAAGATTGTTGGGATGCTGAAATTAGATTATCATATGGTTGGGTTGAATGTGTTGGTCATGCTGATAGAGGAGATTTTGATTTATCTAATCATGCTCGTTGCTCTAAGGTTGATCAGTCTGTATTCATTGCTTACGATGAACCAAAAGAAGTTAAAGATGTTACTCTTTCTTTCAATAAAGGAGTTATGGGAAAGAAATATAAGAAAGACTCTCAAAAATTATTTGCTTATGCATCTGGTTTAGATGAAGCTGCTAAAGAAGCAGTTGCCAAAGAAGTTGAAGAAACTGGAATGTGGAAAGTTACTGTTGATGGTATTAACTTTGAAATTGAAAAAGCTAATATCACTATTAAAATTGGAACAAAGAAAGTATATGGTGATAATATTATTCCAAATGTTATTGAACCATCTTTTGGTGTTGGACGTGTATTAACTGCTGTTCTTGAACACTCATTCTGGGTTAGAGAAGATAATGAAGCTAAATCTGTTTTATCAATTCCTGCTTCTATTGCTCCAGTCAAAGTTGGTTTATTCCCACTCTTAACTAAACTAGAATTTAACAATAAAATCGCAGAAATTGAAAAGATTTGTAAGAATGGTTTCCTTTCATTCAAATCTAATACTACTGCTGTTGCTATTGGTAAGAAATATGCTCAAGCTGATGAAGCTGGTATTCCATTTGATGTTACAGTTGATTATACTTCTCTCTCTGATAATACTGTCACTCTTAGAGACAGAGATACTACAAAACAAATTAGAATTCCAATTGACAAGTTAGTTGAAACAGTGCATGCCCTTACTCAACTTCATCCAACTACAACTTTTGAGAAACTTATGACAATTTATCCAGTAGAAGAAGTCAAAGAAAATTAAATTATCTTTTGAGTGGTATTTTATTTATGTTTTAAAGTTTAATTATTTTTTCTATAGAATGATTTGTTGTGAAATATTTAAAACAGTTATAAAGAAAACATGTACTAAAAAAACTACTAATCAATAATTAAAATAATAAATAAAAAGAAAAGGTGAGAAAAGAAATATCAAAATTATTTGAGATTATCAGCAAGCCAATCAAGACCTTCATAAAGTCCATCACCATTAGTTGCACATGATGTTTGACAATACCATTTACGATTCTTAATTGTTTGTAATCCAAGTTTTTCTGTAACTTCAGAAATAGACATAGCTTGTGGTAAATCATGTTTATTAGCAAAAACAAGCAAAATAGCATTTCTCATCTCATCTTCATTTAACATTTTCATTAATTCTTCACGTGCTTCTCCAATACGGTCTCTATCATTAGAATCAACTACAAAAATAATTGCTTGAGTATTTTGATAATAATGTCTCCATAATGGTCTAATTTTATCTTGTCCTCCTACATCCCAAACAGTAAAGGAAATATTCTTATATTCAACAGTTTCTACATTAAATCCAATAGTTGGAATAGTAGTGACAATTTCTCCAAGTTTTAACTTATAAAGAATTGAAGTTTTACCGGCAGCATCAAGTCCTACCATCAAAATTCTCATTTCTTTCTTTCCAAGTAATTTACTTAACCAACTTCCCATACTGTTTTTTTGGTTTTAATAAGTTCTAAGTTCTTTTTTCGTTTTTTTTTAAGTTTCTCTAAAAACCCTTTTCCCGATTTTTTTGGTTATATTTCTTCAAAAAATTTAATGAAAAAAAGATGAATTATCCTTCCTTTTCTTTCTGTTATTCAATCTCCATTTTTTCAAGACTTCTATCCTAACTTACATCATTTTCTTTGTTACATCTTTAAGGAAAAGTCAAAGCCATTGGAAAAAGCTTCCACTTGAATTGATGATTTTATTATGTGATTAAAATAAAACGTTTTATTTCTGTGCTTCTTTTAACTATTTTCAATAAGAGAGAAAGTCTTGTAACCATATTAAGATACACAATGAAACTACTTCAAGCAATGAATATTTCTTTTTTAAAATTTATAATTGATGATATGATGTAGATTTTCATTTTCTAAATAAAATGGAAAAACAAATTATCGTTTCTTAAATTTTGTTTTTGTTTTGACAAAAACTTATAGAAAGTCATATCAGAAGGAATGTTTTGAAAAAAAACACCTTTTCCAGAAATTATATTCTGAAGGGATAGTGATGTACCATGCTTAAAAAATTAGTTATAATCAAAAGTCTCATCTATTGAATGGCTGCCTGGTTGTCAAAACTTTTTGGAACAATAAAAAACAGAAGAATAATTGTTACTGGGTTAAATGGTGCAGGTAAAACTTCTATTCGTTATAAACTATTGTTAGGTAAATTTGCTATGAATATCCCAACCATTGGGTTTGGGGTTGAATCATTTGAATATAAGGATATTTGTTTTAGCCTTTGGGAAGTTAAAGAAAAAGATAGAACCAAACCTTTATGGAAAGAATACTATACCTATTCTGATGGAATTATATTTGTTATTGATTCAACTAATACCAAAGACCAATTAGTACAAGCAAAAAACCTTCTTAATCAAATACTTAAATTGAAAGAATTAGAAGGAATTCCTTTATTAATATATATAAACAAAGATGATTTACTTCAAGACAAAAATGTGACTGATATTATCAACCAGTTAGGAGTAAATCAAATTAAAGGAAGAGAATGGTATTATCAATCATCTTGTGCAATCAATGGAGATGGTCTTTATGAAGGACTTGATTGGCTTTCTTCAAAAATCAATTGATAAGTAATTCATTTTTATATATTATCCATTGTGTTATGAATTTAAATCAAAAAAGTTTAATTTCAAATTAAGTTTTTTGATGTTTGAGAGAAACAAATTCATGATTTAAACATTGTTGAATTGTAAATCTTTTTTGTTCATCCACTATTAACATGTTTTTAATGAGGTCTTGTAATTCTAATGAAATCATATTAAACTCTTTTTGATGACAAATTTTACCATTTCTAATATTAACTCTCAACATTAATGATGAATTTACTCCTTCTTGATTAAAAGGGAACATTCCAATAGACATATAAAATAACATTACCCCACAACACCAAATGTCTGTTTTAAATCCATCATAAGGTCCACTTTGAAGTATTTGTGGAGAAGTGTAATTACTTGTTCCACACTTAGTTAGAGTATATTCTTTTGTTTCTAATATTTTTCCTAATCCAAAATCCATTACAACAATATTAAGTTTCTTATATTCTTCATTAGTTTTACCACGAATCATTATATTTTCAAGTTTTAAATCTCTATGTATTATTTTATTAGAATGAAGATAGTTAATTGCATTAAATACTTGTTTAATAATTATTTTAATTTCATTTTCATTAAAAGTATGATGTTGTTTTAATTGAAGGTATTGTTCTAAAGTTAATCCTTCAATATACTCCATAATAATATACATAAATCTTTGTGATTGTATTGTTTCATATTTTTTTATAATATTTTGGTGATGAATTTGTTCAAGTACTTCACTTTCTCGTTGTGCAATTTCAGACTTCTTTTTCTGAGTTATATCAATTATTTTTACTGCATTTATTTTATTATTACTCTTTCTTTTAATTTGAAATACTTTTCCAAAAGAGCCACTTCCAATAAATTTTATAATTTGATATTTTGTATAAAAACAACAACACATTTCTTTTTCTTCGAAATCTTTTGAAATAAAAAGAATGTTTTGTCTTATTGATGTTTTTGGAATTGGAATAGAAATAACATCTAATGAATTAATGAATATCTCTGTATCTCTTTTTATTTGTTTATTATTATGAAATGTAATTACATTTGTTTTTACTGTTAACACATATTCTTTTTTCTCTTTTTCTCCTTTAATTTCTATTTGAAAATGTTGTCTACTAATCCAAATATATTTTCTTAGAAATTCAACTTCATTTCTTCCATAAACAAATTGTTCTTTTTTAATTGTTATTCTTCCTATTTCTTCATTTCCATTAAAGATAATAAGACTATACAAATGTTCATTCATATTTTTCAATTATTTCTAAAACTAAGTTCAATTCTTCTATTGTAAGTTTCTATTTTCAATTTGCTTTTCTTTAAAAAATTAAGAAAAATAATTATTAATAAATTTATATAATTCTCTTTATTGAGTTTTAATGGTTTTTGTATGAAAAGTATTTTCTATTTTTAAAAAAGTGTCATTTAATATCTGGATTTATTTTTTTATTAGAATATTGATTTAATTATTAATAAATACTGTACTACTAATGACAAGAATCTACACCTTTTCAAATTCGTCATTTGACTGAGAAAGAATAAAGATATGTGATAAAACCAATACATTAAAACATAAAACCATTATTTTTGACAAAAGTGTTATTTATAAATCAGTTATTTTTATTATTTAAAAAGAACCAAATTTTCTATTCTATTAACTTCTATGAGTCAATTATAACTACAATACGTGTTTTCAAAGGAATAAACAACAATTCAAATGTCTTAAAATAAACAACAACCCAATAACATTTTCAATCTCGTTGTGTGTTATACTACTTATTTATTATCTTCTTTTCTAAAACTCTTCAAAAATAATCCAAATCCAATGAGAAAACACTAATTTCAATATTTTAAACAAAGAAAGGAAAGTTCAGGTAAAAAGAGTTTGTTATAAATAAAATTAGATTCAACACCAACAACAATATTTTCTGTGCTTTTTCAATAAGATAAAGAAAAGTACAGAAATAACCTGAAAAAACACGTCAAATGAAATTTACAAAGGGGGGTTGAAAGACTTAAAGCAAATTCCTAAAAATACAATACTTAACATTAACTTTTTATTATTTCTTAATAAAAAAAAAATACTTACCAACTTCATTCATCTTATCATGCAAACCACACAACCTCCTAACACTGAAAAATATGGAATGATGAGAAAATCTCTCAATAGACAACGTCATTACTTTGATTCAGCTGAATGGAGCATTAGAAATAGTTTATCTCCTGAAGCTAAATCTATCAACAAAGAAGAATTTCCAGTTGAGTCACTTCAACCATATGATATTGTTATGTTAACACAGTCTAAGAAAGAACAAACATCCAGTCCATTTTCAAAGTCTCAGAAGTGTGTACATAATTGAATAGAATTCTGGTGTATGTATTAAAAAAGAGGGTTTGACATAATAAAGAGAAATACAATTATTCATTCTTTTTTATGTGGTGAAGAAATTTAATTTCCTCTCATTAATATTTAATTAATTATTCTTCTTCTTATTCCTTTTTTTTGTAGTGAGAATATAAAAATGATTTTAAACCCAAAAATGACAATACATACTTTTCAATAGAGAATAAATGAAGTTGATTGACTAATACTTTGACTTTCAATTCCATTTGTTAAATTACTCATCACTGAATTATTTCCATCATTTCCAGAAATTACTTCATCAGCTCCACTTGACTCATTTTTTAATTGATCTTTTTCATTTAATGTATTTAAACATTCATTGAGATATCGAATCTCTTCATTGACATCTAATAATTAAATATTGACAATAACTCAATTAAAACAAATAAGAAGAACAAACCTTTAATTCGTTGTTTGATAACTGACATTTTATATAATACTCCTGATTTTTCATTAAAGTTGTTAATACTCAATTGATTAATTTCATTTACTATTTGTTTAAATCTCTTTGTCATTGGTTGACTTGAATTGAAATATATATCAATTAACTGTTGACTTTCTGGTGAAATATAATTCCTTATTTCATCAATAGACTTAGACAATTTTACAGTAAGTCCAACAGTTGGTACTTTCCATTGAATAACACAATCTTCTTTTTCTGTTTGAAGATTCTACATAATGTAAATTAAACTTAATCATTCATTTCTATCAAAATAATAAATAATAAACAATAATAAAAAATACCAATTTCTTTAAATTATGTAATTGTTTAATGTCTATTAATTAATGTACTCCTTTGGATTATCCTTTCTTTCTTATATTCAAAACCTTTGATTTGTCTAGTTAGTTGATTGACTTATTGAAGGAGAATGAATCAAATAAAATTTCGTATGAACCAAAAAAAAGAAAAATGTAAGAAAAGTAAAAGTAATTGAATAAAGTATTAAAAGTTCAACAAGTATTGAGTTTAATTTTGACTTATTGCTTCGTTATTGCTCAAGCAATTATGTGTTTAAGTAGGGGAATGTGAATATTGCAATGCAAATTCTAGTTTGTTTCTATATACAGTTGTAATACTTCAAACAACTAAATACTCATTAATGTCTACCAAGATAAAAGTATTTGTAAACAACTCAAAGACGAAGAATTGTGTGTAGAGTGTTTAAAATCATATTATAATTCAAAAAGGCATATCCACCATGTGTTAGTAATTGTGAGAGTTGAAGTTATTCTTCAGATAGGAAGGTGTGTCAAATGTAAGTTTAGACTTTTTACTTAAAGAACAAAAATGAATCATTTACAATGGTAAATGTGAAGATAGTTTAGAATGTATTGACGATGTATATAGATGTAATAAATGTAAAATAGACTTTTATCCAATTAATAGGGTTTGTTTCAATTTGTTTATGTTGATAGATTTCATAAAATTTGATAGGTAAAAAGACTCAGAACAATTGAATAGAAAAGTCTTAGTATTGTGTTGATAAAGTGTTTGATACTACGAGTGAATGTAAAAACTGTCAAAAAAGATATTATGTCAAAGACAAAGATTGCTTACATTGTGATAGTAGTTATGCTACTGATAAATATGATGGTAAAACTGGTGAATGTATTACTGTCAAGCACTTTTTATGTAAGTCCAAAAATAAAATTCAAATTGTAACTTATCATTGTAACACCTATAATAATTCACCATGTACAGATTGTGAAACTGGTTATTGTATTGATAGTGGTAAATGTGGAAATTGTTCAGACGTTTGAAATAACTGTAATATTGAGAATGGATATATTACATGTAGTATTGAGTATAATGTATGTAATGGTGGTTGTGTTTAAATATGTGATAAAGAAATGCATGTAATGTAGGAAGTGTCTGAATTTGCTAAGTTTGTTGAGGAAATATTTATCAAATAGGAATTAGTGTTTGTTTTTACATGAAGAATAATGTCTGAATGTGATAGTAACAAATAAAAATATTTGGGGTGGTAAGTCAAAAGATGTTTTAACTCCATTACTACTATTTGTATGTTATATCCTAGTAGTTATGAGGTTGGCTCTTATTCAGATGGAGTTAGATGTACAAAAGTAAAGGAAATTAATAGGTATTATATTTATGGAGGAAAGCAATTATATATGGTGTTGTGTGTGTTACTTTTGATAAACTTAGTTGATGTGTTGCATGTAAAGATGGATTATAAGCAGAATCATTGTTGTGATGTTTGTTATAAGACACATTCTACATGTGATAACAGTACTTTGTGTGTAAGTTGTCAGGATGAATTAACTCAATATAATAGAGGATTTTGTAGAGGATTTGATCCACAATGTGCAGAAAGTTGTAAATAATCTTCTATGTGTAATAAATACAGTGAAAGCTATTTTGTATTTGAAGAACAACATTATTTTTGTGGTACAAGATGTAGTACTGGAAATTGAAGAAAGTATATACGAAGAATGTCAAGAGGGATATTTTGTTTATCATGGACGATGTGAAAGTGTGTTTCATTCTTTCTCTTGTTATAAATGCATCAAATAATCATTATATTAAGCTATCCACATTTCTGTAGTTTGTAATATGAAGAGTTAAGCTGTTTAGAATGTACTGAAGGTTTTTATCAATTTGCAGGAAGACATATCTTTTCTGGAGTATTTCTGTAATAAGTCAGTTATTTACACTTTTTGTTTTCTTTGCTTTCTAAATGACTCTTTTCTTCTTGTGTCTATTTCAACACTACCAACTTTATTTTGTTTTTTTTATGTAATTTAGATTTCAAGTCTTTCATTTTTATCAAATCTTATTCTCCATGATTTAGACTTTGTTGAGGAATCATTCAAAATAGAATAGTTATAGTCTATTGAGTTTCACTAGTACAAGTGTTAAAGAGAAATAGATGTAGTTGTATCAAGTATTAAGCATTCAACACTCATTTAAGAAGTTAACTGTTGTAATAAAAACGCATCACAGAGTAAAGGTTTTGAAGCTGGAAGAATAGTGGGTTGAAAGAAATATGTTATTGAAATGATGTTTTGAAGAGGAAATTAGATGAAAGTGAAATGAATTAAACAATATTCTATTATTATTTTGTGTTGAGAGATGAGTCATAGTTGTTTTGTGTTTGAAATTGAATGAGACTTTATTTTAGTATCTCGTTCAATACTCATTTAAATTTATTCATCATTTATTACATTAAACTACATAAAAACTACATTGTTTTAATCCCAATTATTCAATTGATGATATTTTGTTGTTTTTTCTTTTCAATTCTTAAAGTGTTATTCTTGGAAATAATAAAGTTATGAATATTTGTGTTTTATTTATTGAGTTTTTATAATAATTTCATAGTTGTTTTTCTTTAGTTTCATTATAGTATTTTTATTGTTAATTTTATTGTTATATATTTCAAAAAATAAATAAAAATAAAATGCAATCGGAAGGAGTTGAACCTTCGACCCTCACGTTTTGTTAACAAGTTCGATTCTTTAACAAAGTAAGAAAGTGTTTTACCACCTAAACTACGACTGCTTTTCAAATTTTTGAATTAAATGGCTATTCTTTACTTTTTTGAAATTATTTAAGAAATGAATTTTTTGTATTAATTCATGAATATCTTATTAGTATCATCTGCACAAACACTATAAACAAGCATATGTGTTTCATCATTCGAGAGTATGTTTTCATTGTTTTAAATTAATGAAAATAATTATTACAACTATGAAATTTTCACATATGTTTTATTTTCAACGACTCAATTATTCAATTAATACTACTATAACCAATACAATTATTAATATCTTTTTCATTGAAAAGTTATGGTGTCGTTTTCATTTTATTTCATTTACGTTGTATTTATTAATATGTGGCATATTTCATTGTTAAATTAGTCTTAATTTTGTTCTTCAATAACTTTCATCTCTTTATGAACATTACTTACAATAAAATGAAATTAATAAACTTGAAAAATATTATGTTTAAACGATTCTTTATGTTATTGAATTAATAGTCTTTATTTTCAATGACAGATATTATGATAACGTGTTCTTTATCCATACTTTTTAACAAAATTCTATTCTAATTCCTCATTTGCTTATTTTATAAATTTAAGCGAATTTATCTCTGATAAAACTTAACTACAACACTCATTTATATAATGGTTATTTTTTCTATACAATGAATTAATTAAACAATTTTTATATTATGTTAGTTCTTAATTTCACATTTCTAACACTCATTTGTCAACTTTTCTTAAAACAAATTCATCTTGTTATCATTAGTAGATTTAAGTTTCTTTGCTTTTGATCAAAAATATTTTAGTATTATTTGTATATTCTTTTAATATAGAATTTGTGTATATTTTGTCTTATTCAATGTTACTTTAATAGGGGTTAGTTGGTACTACAAACTTTGTTTCTTTTGGATTTTTTTTAACTAGTTTTATTATTTGTTTAAAATTTCTTGGATTATTTTGTCTACAGTCATTTCTTTGAAATAAACAAGTTTTATTCAATGACAATGAATTATTAATATTCGGTCATTCATTCAAAATCAATTGAATGACATGAAATATGAAAATATTATAAATAACAAAGAATAATAAATGACAAAAACAATGTGATATTTATTGAAATAAATGATTATTAGAAATAATTTAAATCAAATAATGATGTTACTTTCATCAACAATGAAAAGAATAAATAAACTAAGAAACAAAATTTAGAAATTATGAAAGAATAATGAAGAATAATATGAAAGAACAGAATTATCATTAATACTTTAATGTCAAAATCAAAAAATAATTGAAATTATGACAAAACTCAATAATAATGTCAGTGTGCTTTGATGGTAATAATAATTTTATTAATGTAGAAATTGTTGTTAAAGTATTTCAATGAAATATGAATAATTTCATTTTTAATTCATAACATCAGAATCATTGTTTAAGAAGGTTATTTCATAATATTGAATCATATCACATTTATAATAAAAAATGAATTGTTTGAAGTTTGAAGAATAAATAAAGAAAAAATATTATCCAAATTTAATTACTAAAAGAATTGAAAAGAAAAGGAAGAATTGAAAATAATAAAGTATGATATATAAAGTACTATAGAAGTACTGAATTAAAATATAAATAAAAGTTGATTCATGATGTGTTGAATTTCTTTAAATACTGTAGTTCATTAAAATCAATTTCTATATCAACTACAATTAGTGAAATGTGAAATGGATGTTTTATTGATATTAAAAATTAGTATTAATTTCTGTACCTAATCATTTGTATCATTCTGATGATATTATTTTATTAATGTAACTCAGTGAAACTGAAACATTGTTGAGAAAGAATGAAAAAAAAATATAGAAGTGTTCATTCGAAAATTATTTAGGTAAATACAAGAAATAATAAAATAAAAATCATTGAATTAAAAATCATTTTATAAATCATAACTTTATAATCACTTTCTTTGAATTTGAATAATTTAAGAATAATTTAAATTACATTATATGAGGATTATATTACCAAAACTTTAATTAATTTATTTTTTTAATAAAAAATGAAAGAATTACGTTATTAAAGAAAAACGAAATGCTAATTTTAATTGATAATAAAGTGGTAATAAATTTATTTATAGTTTTATTTCAAAATAATTTTTATTCAATATCATTATAACTGAAAAATAAAATTTGTTTCAGTGAATGTATTTAAATCTTTCATTCATTTTATTTCTTCATGAATAAATAACCAACATTATCAATTTCATTAAAACAATAATCACGTTCATATTAATATATATTAGAATTATTGTTATAAAATAAACTTATAACACAAAGAAAATTAATTAAAATAAAGATAATTAAAATAATTCAATTGGAGTGTTTAATTAATGTTAATATAAAAGCATTGTAAATGAAGAAAATACAATAAATAAGAATATCAAAATAATAAAATAAAGAGATAATAATGAAGAATTGTTTGAATTAATCAGAACAATATTTGAATATAAATTGAATCTTGAAGAGAGTGTATAAATTATGTGATAAAAGAAATAATACAAATGAATATAGTGAAATATATCAAATTATAAAAAATAAGAATGACATATCTACATTAATAAAATAATGAAAGAATAAATATAATGAAATAATTATTAATAAATTGAAATTGAATGAAATGAATAATCAAAAAAAAAAAAAACAAAGTAGAATGAAAATGAAATGATAAGATAATAACAAATAAAATAATGAATAATGATAATATAAAAAGAAATGAATCTAACCAAGTGAAATTAATGAAAAAAAATGATATATTTATAAAAATTAACAATTCAATAATTACATTAAATGATAATTGAAATGATGTATTGTTTGTAATTATAAAATAAAATAAATATATAATAAATTATAATGTAAATAGAAAATACATTTTAAATACATTTTAAACTTGAATTAATAAATGAATAATCAAATGATAAAAATAACTATAATAACATATATAATAAAGAAATGAAAAATGGAGAATAAAACAAGAGAATAAAATGAAATTAAACAACAATACAAATGAAAATGATAAAAACAAAAGAAGAATATATAAAAATAAAGAAATAATTAATGTATTGAAACACGAAATAATCAATAACAATGAATAAATCATAAAAGAACAACCATTTATATAGAAAATAAAATAAATAAGAATAAATAACTAATGATAATTGTAAACGATAAAAAGACCAAATTAGTATTTATTAATACTGTAGAAATGGATAAAATTTATTAAGATAAAATAAAACAAATCAATAGAGTAAAATAAAAGGAATTACAATAATAATTACAATAAAGAGAAGAATGAATCGTAAAGATAATCAGAGAACAAACCATTATAACTGAGATTTTAAATTATAGGAAAAGATATAATGAATAAGAACATGAAATATTTAATTGAATAATAAAATAAATAAGAATGAAATATAGAAAAATAAAAGTATTTCATGAACAAAACTCTGAAGAGAGTGATTGGTAGTGTGTAAAATAACTCGACATTGCAAATTACTTGGAACATCCCCTTTAACAATTCTTTGTGCAAGTCCTTCAACTACTGCTGTTTTACCAACTCCTGGCTCTCCTATTAAGACTGGATTATTTTTCGTTCGTCTTGATAAAATACGAATAACTCGTTTAATTTCTTCATCTCTTCCAATGATGGGATCCATCTTCCCACTTTCTGCTTGTGCCGTTAAATCATTTCCATATTTCTTCAATGCTTCATATTGACTCTCTGCTTCTTTTGTTTCTACACTTTGTCCTTTTCTCATTTCCATTATCTTTTTGTTAAATTCCAGAACATTAATTCCACTATTTCCTACTATCGTACTAATTTCTTTCTCTTCCATCAATGACATTACTATCACATCAACTGCAAGATATGTATCTCCCATTGTCTTTTGTTTCTCTATTGCTCGTCTTATCACTTGTTGTGTTGTTGGATGAAGTCCAATTTCTACTGGTGGTGGATTTTTATACAAAAATTAAAAGGAAAAAAAATAAAATTTAATAAATACATTTTCAAAGAGAGACACAAACAAAAAAAAACAGTAAAAGAACAACAACCCATTTAAGGAAAAGTGAGATGTAATAGTATTTATAATTAGATAAAGTAAGAATAAACAATACTAAATGAATAAAAATTCAATAAAAAACAGAAAACCAAAAATGTTTCATAAGTTTTGAAATTCAAAAAAATGAAAAGTTAAAAGACTTTTCAGTTGAAAAAGAAGAAAAGAAATTTGAAAAGAACTTTTTTTGGATAATTGGTTATGAACAAGCAATTAACATTGTTCGAGAAACTTACTCCTTTACTTAATTGTATTCAAAACGTAAACTTAAAAAATGAATTTAAAAAATGTATTGAAGAAAAAGAATTTATTAATACTTTACAAGATGGAGAACATACAAAATTCATTGACTTGGTTATTCAATTATTTTATTCTACACAAATATCTAAAGCAAATTTACTATTAGATCTTATTGAAGATATGTTAGCAAATGGATATATTAGACATATCCCATCACCAACATATCCAGATGTTATTAATGAATTACTTTATAAATTACTCACCGCAAATTTTCCTAAAACATCTACAGAAGAGTATTGTCGTTGTTTATCAACATTTATCTGTTCAACATTTACTGAAATGCATGGTGTACAACTACAAAATACTGTAAGTAAATTATTAAGTTGTAAACAAACATTATATCACACAAACGTTGTTACATTATTTGCTGCAAAATATAAATCTTCAATAGAAACAAATAGTGATATTAAATATAAAGATGTTATAGTATTTATGCGTTCAATAGCATATATGATTTCTAAACATACAGAAAATTCAATTTATTATTTAACTTTATTTATTACTCAATGTTCAGAAGAAATTAAGAAAGACTCGCCTCAAAGAGTTCAAAATATTATTGATATTATTTCTCCAGAATTAGGATTTTCAGAAGTAATTGATTTGATTGAATTATGGAGATGTATTATTAAATATTCCTTATTTCAGTTAATTCCATGGTTAGGGATTTGTGTTAAAAGTGTTTCATTAAATCCAAATAAATCTGCAATAATAGCTATTAATGAAACAATTTCCAGTGAAAAATTACCACGATTATTTATATATGGTGATTATCAAATCAACCAATTTGATATATTTAAGAATATTGTTTCTATATTACTTCAATTAATTAATAATAATGATTTAATTGCTCTTGGTTTATTAGCAGAAATTATGAGAAGTCTTTCATTATTTAATGACGATATGATAAATAAAGAGAATTATTATTATGACACATTCACAAAACACCAATCCCTTAAAGAACAAATTAAGGAGTGTGTTATTTTATTTAACCAAAAAGGATTTTCAGGTATTGATAAATTAATTCAAATAGGATGTATTAGTTCCAATGCAAAAAGTATTGCCAGGTTTTTAATGAGTGATGAATTATCCCCAGAAAAAGTTGGGAATGTTTTGTGTAAAAATAATACATTATGTAAAGAATGTTTAGAAGAATATATTATGAATTTAGATTTATATGATATGGAACTTGACCAAGCAATGAGAAGATTGTTTTACCGATTTCAAATGGTTGGAGAATCACAAATTGTTGGAAGAGTTTTTGAGTTATTCAGTAAACGATATCTTCAATGTAATATAAAATATAAAGACATTTTAACAGAAGAAAAAGTAGAACAATTTTCTACTACCTTATTAATTCTTGCAACTGAATCACATAATTCCAATGTAAAATTAAAAGTTGTTGATACTTTTGAAAAATTTAATAATATAATTTGTAAAGACTTTCAAATTCAATATGAAACAAAAGAATTATTACAAATGTATCGTAGAGTTCAAAATACACCATTTGTTCCAAGATCTATTTCACCTATTACTCGACCAGTTAATATATTAAATGAACCTTTGATTGTTCAACCAATTAAAATGACAAAAAGTATTGCATTTTGTATGTTTGAAATTGTTTGGAAACAAATAACCCAAATAAAAAATTTTACAACAATTCATTCAAATTTATTATTCACAACACTTCAAACTGGTTGTTTATTAGAACGAAATGAAATAAAAGAAATAGGTACATTAATAGAAAAAATCTCAAATTCAGACTTATCTTCAAAATTCACAGAGCAAGATGTTATTTGTATTGGAAGAGTTATTATTAGTATGTCTGAATGTTATACATTATTAAAACAAGCTTGGGAACCTCTATTAAGTATTGTAATAAATATTAAAATTATAAATCAAGCAAGGGATATTAATTCAAGAAATTCATTTAAAATAAATGAAAGAAAACAATTAAGAGAACCAATATATAATTTAATGTTTAAAATAAATGAATCTCAAATACAAAAAATTGATTTAAATCATTTAGCCACAGTAAATGATCCTGAAAATTTATTTAAAATGATTGACTTTTCATTATTAGAACAAACACTTCAAACATTGGAAATATCTGAAGATGTAGTTTATAGTGATTATATTAAAGGATTAATTGGAGTTATTAAAAGTCGTATTAATGATTTTCCTATTATCCCATTACAATATTTATTCTCTTCTGCTTCAAAAAATTATTTAAGACCTTTAAATTCAATTACTGAAGAAATATTAAATCAAATTATCAACTGTTTTATTGCTTGTTCATTTCATCCTTATTCAAAAGTAAGTTACCTCTCTTTAGATTATCTCAAACAAGTTATTCAGTTGTATCATTCTCATTATAATGCTTTTATTCCAATTATTTCAGACAGTCAAGATATTAATATTCGATATAAAGCTTTAACTAATTTATTTGATTGTGATGTACCCAAAAGTGAAGTAGATATATTATATGACAGTCTTCAAGTAATTCCTGATATTAATGGTGATGTAGTAGATTTAGCATTAGAAAAAATTGTTTATTTATTTTTAAATTATCCACATCAAAACAAGATAATTTCAATATATTCTTTATTAGTCCATGAAACAACCAACATTAATCTTCTTAATCCAATTAACCAATGTATTATTCAATTCATCAAAGAAAATAAAGTCAATACTTTATCTCTTCAAATGATTGCTGTTGTAGCATCAAAAATTAATGATTCTTCAGTTGGAAAAGAATGTTTTAAAATCATTGAAGAATGTTCTGAAGAAATAAATGGTGATTTATGGATTAATAGATTGCTTAATAGTCGTGATGAGCATTGGATTAAAACTATATTTCCAAATATTTTTATGAGTAAGAAAATGAAAAAATGGAAGAATGAACTTGTATCTTATTCATTATTTATTTTATTAACAAGTACTAAAGAAATTCAAGAAAGTATTTTTAAGTTATTAGAAGTAGAATTTCAAGAAAATCCAAATATTGCTGTTCAATTTATTAATGAATTATCAGAATATATTTTTGTTGGTGTAGTTGATAATTCACCAAAGAAAAAAATAATTAATAGTACTTATGACAATTGTAATCTGGAAGAATGTTATGAATGTAAATGTAAAGTTAATTGTTTAAATAAACAATGTGTATATTGTCAACATAAATATTGTGATAAATGTATTGAAAAATTTAATTCTCACCAATGCAAATTAACTTTTCCTTCATTAAGTTCTCTTGCTAAAATAGACATTGAAATTAATAAAGAAATCATTGAATATTTTTATAGACTTTGCTCTGCCTTATTACGTTCTTCATGTTCAGAACTAAATATATTCAATTGTTTAATTAAGACAATACATACTTGGAGAAATCTTTATCTCAATAACTCATCTATTATTCTAAGAGATAACATAATTCAAAAACATTACACTAAATTATATATTTCCCTAATCTCATTACTATTTGAAATAGGAACTAAAGAACAAACAGATATTACTTCAATGGTTATAGAAGAATCTAAAGATATTCTAATTCTTTTTGTACAAACAATTTCTCCATCAACATACCTCCCAGAAGAACTTATTTTGACTTTATTAACAAAAGTACTAACCATTTCATCAGATGAATTAGTTTGTTGTTGTAAATTATTTTCTTTAAAAAATAATAATAGTCATTCTCATTAAGTAGTTTAAAGAAATGTACAGTATTACTCAGCCATATTTGATAGAGACTATTCTCACAAATATCCAACCTATAAGAAAGGTTATTGCAGAGATTATGAAACGAAATTGTCAATTTAAATAATTATTATTTCATTACTTTTTTGTTTTATTTATTAATATAAATCTAAAAAGATCAGACTTATACAAATATCAACACGTTATATCAGTTCTAACATGGAATTTATATATCATCACTTCTATTTTATTTTTTTCTATTAATTTTATTCTTCATAAAATCAAAAAGAAAATATAATTATGGGTTTTCATTTTTTTTATTAAAATTTTAATATAATTTTATTAATAAATTATTTTTTTCATATTTTATTTTTCTTCTTTAATAATTTTATGATTTTGTTATTTTTTTATCTTTCCTAAAATGTTAAGAAAATGACTAAACAAGAACATTCTTATGAACTTACTCAACACATCCCATTGCAGGTTATATCCCTATACTTAATGTATTTAACAAATTTCTTGTACTGAAGGAATTGTTTCATTTCTTCTTATGTCCTAATAATTCCATAATATTCTCATTTTTTCAAACCAATAATGAAACATTAGAATAAATTAAGGTTTATTACAATGAGTATGGTACAATTTCCCTCATACAGAAGTCAACTAATGAAGTTGATTCATGTATTTTTTAAAGAAGATGAAAAAAACATTTTCTTTGTATATTTGTTTAGTCATCTTTACAATAAATAAATAAATCAGTATTTGGTACAGTTTTTAAAGTATCTTGCACTAATGAAAGAAAGAAATAATTTACTGTCATATGTTTTTTTATATTTAAATGACTATACTAATCACTGTGGATTTCATTGTCACAAAAAAATCCATGTCATTAATCCAATCTTGCTGATTGTCTATATCTTTAATACCAACAGAAAATTGAAATTTAATTAATGGAATAAAAGAAAATTGTTTCTTAAATTGATACCCAACATCTTCATACTCTTCAAATTCACACAGATTATAAGAACATCCTTTAGTTATATAAAATTTCTCTATTTGTACTGTTTCTGGTAGTTTTTTAGTGTTTTAAATAAGTCATATATACTTCTCCTTAGTTCATGTCTTTCTTTAGTAACAGTCAACAAGAGTAAATTGATGTGGTAAGTTTTTTCTTGATACAAACAATCACAAAATAAACAAACAAAACAAAACAAAAGATACACCACATCATTTTGTTTCTTTTCTTTCTTTTTCTACACAAAGTTTTTAAAAAAAAAGGTTAATGAATAACAAAGATAGGAATGAAAGTAAAAAGAGAAAATCAATGTTAGATTAAATTGTATTAAAATGAAGTACTTAGTGATATTAAAAATGCAAATCAAAAAGAAAAGAACTTAAAAAGAAAAAGTATCTATTTATAAGATCTTTAAGGAAAAAATCTTATTAACACTATTGTTATGACTTACCAAACTATAAGAAAAACATTTTTAATACCAACAAAAAGAATTACACAATTTGGAAGAACAACGTATCATCTAAATCAACCACAAATTAGATTAATTCAAACAATTGAAGGAACGAAATATGTTGGAGTATCATTTTCATCTTCATATTCAGCAAATAAAATTATTCTTGAAGCACAAAAACAAATGTTAGTAGATGAAGAAGGAGAAAAATTATTTTGTTTATATAATTTACCATTTTATTTTGATGATCAAACAGAAGTATTGTTTGTTATTATTTAAAAGAAACAAAATAAAATTATCTAATAGAAATAGAAATACAAATACATTTTATTTATTTTGTTTAACATATGGATATTCTCCTGTTTATGAAATATTAAATAAAAAATATTGTAAAGAATATAAACCAATTGAGGTTTTTCTTCAATATTTAAAAACATATCAAATTAATTATGAAATTATTGGATTTGAATATCTTACTGTTTTAAAATCAATACCAGAAGAATGTAGAGATTTTAGAAGTTCATTAGCACGTGTTAGACAAGAAGAATTTGAATGGGCAACAAATAATTTTGATAAAAAAATTCTTGAAGAGAATGAATATGTTTATATAGAATCAGAACCTCCTATTACAGAATTTAATTTAGATAAAATTCGAATTAATGGAAGATATGGAACTGATATGTCAATGAAAACTATTGTTCATTTACCATCTGATTCAATTGAAGAAGTTATTAATAATTTATTTACTAAATTACATACTATGAAACCTTCTATATTTAATGAAAATGCACAGCCATCAGATTTTGTTTTAAAAGTTAGAGGATTTAATGAATTTATTATTCCTTATAAACGTGATGGAAGTAAATATTGTTTAAGTGATTTTGATTATATTAGAAAATGTATTCATCTTAAATTACCTATTGATGTAGTTTTATTTAATAGAGAAAATATGCACCATAATTTATGGAATGAAAATACTATTAAAATGATGAAATATTTTGATCAATTTGTTGGAAATAATAATTGGAATCTTATTCAAGATGAAACTCGTTGTCTTTCTCAAAGAGAATGTCAAACTCCTGTTTGTATTCAAATTATTTCAGCAGAAAGAATTAAACATTATAAAATAACTAAATTAAAAGATGACAGTGAAATAGTAAATCTTGAAGAAGATTTAAAAATTTATATTACCGGTTCATTACATTATGGAACTCGTTTATTAGTTAGACAAGAATTTACACCAGTATATCAAATTAAAGAAGGTAAATTACATTTAGATTCTCCTATAATGATGACATTTAATATACTCATATCAACTCTTCCTAAAGAAACAAGATTAACATTATCAATTTATATGACAGATTCCCCTATTAATTTACAAGTATTCGAAATTAATAAAAAAGACATTTGTTTGGCAACTATTAATTGTAAATTAGTTGATTATAATGGTTATTTTATGAAAGGATTATTTAATGTTGGAATGTGGGAAAGAACTGAACCAAATCCTATTATGATGTGTTGTGAAAATACTTCTTCAAACACCTGTAAATTACATTATCGAATGATAGAATTTAATAAACCTGTTAAAATGAATACATTTATTGCAAATGAACAAGAGTTAAATACTAACATAACAGGTTCTGTTAAGATTGATTCTGAACATACACTAAGATTTAAATATGCTGTTGAAGCTGATCCATTAACAGTACTTAGTCAAGAGGATTGTAGATTATTATGGACTTATAGATCTTTAGTAATGAAAACAAAACCCCGCTCTATAGCGAGGTTAGTTTCTGCTGTTGATTTTACTCAACAAAGTGAAGTATTAGAATTACATAGATTATTAAATAAATGGCCATTACTTGAACCAACACATGCATTAGAATTATTAGACTTTAGATTTCCAGATGAACAAGTAAGGTTATTTGCTTTAAAATGTTTAGATGCAATGAAAGATTATGAATTAGTTAATTTTCTTCCACAACTTGTTCAAGCATTAAAATTTGAATTACACCATCAAAGTAATTTAGCATATTTTTTACTTAGAAGAGCATTAAGAAATAAAAATATTATTGGACATCAATTCTTTTGGTTTTTAAAAGCTGAAATGCATGATAATAGAGTAACTGAACGATATGGAGTATTATTAGAGGCATTTTTAAATGGATGTGAAGATTATAGAACTGAACTATATAATGAAGTAACATTTCAAAATCAGTTAGTTGTTATTGCTAATAAAGTAAAACAATTAGAAACAAAAGAAGAACAAAAACAATTACTTAAAGATTCATTGGCAAAATTAAAATATCCTGAAGAAATGTCATTACCATTAGATTCACGATTTAGAATAAAAAAACCAATTCCAAATACTGGAAATGTATTTAGTAGTAAAAAGAAACCACTTATGTTGGTATTAGAAAATGTAGATCCATTAGGAGATAATATTATGGTTATACAAAAAGTTGGTGATGGATCTTAGACAAGATGTTTTGACTTTACAAATGCTTCAA